CTGGTCTACATAGTGAGTTCCAGGCCAGCTGGGGCTACAGGGAGACCCTCCCTTTTAAAAAAAAAAAAAAAAAAAAAAAAAAAAGCCAGAAAAGGATGCTATCAACAACAGGCAGCCTATCCAGACAGGCCACACTCAACAGGGGCTCAATAGGGGCTCATATTTCCACTGGCAGGGCCCATGATGGCAGTGCCCATGATGGCAGTGCCCATGATAGTAGAGCCCATGATGGCAGACATCAGCTGCCATCTCCAACATCCCCAAGACGGGGTTCCCTGCACTGTCCATTAGCTCTGTTGCCCTTGAGACTCAGAGATATCAATCACTTCAGTGAGCCAAGTGCCAGAACTGTGGCCTCCACAAGTTGCCCCCACCTAGCACATGGTGGGGCTCAAGTGGGCTGCACAAAAACCCAGACCGGCACCACAGCTACACCAGTGAAGGCACTGGATGTTTGATGACTTCTAATTTTATTGAAATTTAATTATTTGAAATTTTACTTTCAAAACTGACACTCAGTTCTGTTACTAGAAAATCTTGTTTGCCAGGTGTGGTAGCACACGCCTTTAGTCCCAGCACTCAGGAGGCAGAGGCAGGCGGATCTCTGTGAGTTCAAGACCAGCCTGCTCTACATAGTGAGTTCCAGACCAGCTGGGGCTAGAGGGAGACCCTGTCTCAAAAAGACCAAAAAAAAAAACAAAAAACTAAGAAAATCTTGTTGAAGAGCTTGGATGTGTGAACCGACTTTTCCAAGTGCAAATTTTATGTACTCTATAGATTCAAGCCAGTGAGATGCCTCAGTGGGTAAAAGCACTTGCCACACAAACCTGATGACCTGAATTTAACATTTTTTTTATTTATTATTTTTATTTTATGTGTATGCGTGTATTACCTGCATGTAGGTAAGTGCACCCGTGCCGTGCAATGCCTGCAGAGGTCAGAAGACAGCTTTGGATCCTCTGGAACTAGAGTTACGGACAGTTGTTAGCTGCCATGTGGGTGCTGGGACTTAATGTTCATTTAATGTTCAGTACCCACTATAATCCTAACACTCACTCCTACAGCAAAGATGGGAGGCAGAGACAGGAGTCTTGCCTAGAAGTTGCACAGTGGCAGATGCTGTAGAGAGACCCTGCCCCAAACAAGCTGGAAAGAAAAATTTGTACTCTGACCACCACATGCACAATAGGGCATGCACAAATACACACACACACACACACACACACACACACACACACACACCCCCCAAATAAATAAATAAATGCAAAAGCTTTTTTTTTTTTTTTTAGCTCCAGCTGTCCTGGAACTCACTATGTAGACCAGGCTGGCCCTGAACTCACAGAGATCCGCCTGCCTCTGCCTCCTGAGTGCTGGGATTAAGCAAAAGTATTTTTAAAACAGAATCTCAGTGGCTATTTTTTCAATGACAATGGACAGAAGGAGGATGCCACCATCCTTAGTCATCAGGAATGCAAATCAAAACCACAAGGAGACCCCTTCACGCTCACTAGAAGGGCTGTAGTTACAGAAACAAGTGTTCAGAAAGAGAACACTTGCCTCTCAGATTCACTGGGAAATGTAGAGTGGTTCAGCTGCTACATTAAGTAGCTTGGCAGTTCCTTACTACGTTAACTCCAGAAGCCACAGGTAGACACACATGAGCCTTTATGTGAGGTGCTGAAGAGATGGCTCAAAGGTTCGGAGTATTTTCTGCTCTTGCAGAGAACCTGGATTTGGTTCCCAGCCCCACATGGTGGCTCACAACTGTCAGTGGTTCCACTTCCAGATCTGACACTCTTTTATGGTCTCCTCAGACATTCACATGGTATACATATATGCATGCAGGTAAACATTCATGCACATAAAATAAAAATAGATAAATCTATCACTGGGTGTGGTGGTACACACCTTTAATCCCAGCACTCAGGAGGCAGAGGCAGGCAGATCTCTGTGAGTTCAAGGCCAGCCTGGTCTACATAGTGAGTTCCAGGACAGCTGGGGCTACAGGGAGACCATCTCAAAAAGACCAAAAAAAAAAGAAAAGAAACAGGAACAACAGAAAGAAAAGTCATGACCCATGGGGCTAAACAGAGCTGCCCTTGAGAAGTTTGCAGGGTGCCCTGAGTGGTTCCATCCTTGGCATGGGCAATGGAGTCATGTTTTGGCTCATTCCAAACTTGGGGCTGGGAGACAGCTCCGCCGGCTATTAAGAGCACTGGCTGCTCTTGCAGAAGATCCACTTTTGGTTCCCAGCATCCACATGGCAGCTAACAACTGTCCATAATTCCAGTTTCAGGGGATTTGATGCCTTCTTCTGACCTTCACAGACATTGCACAGCACAGGTGCACTTACATGCAGGCAATACGTATACATATAAAATAAAAAGATACGTATAAAATAAAAATAAGTAAAATGTATATTTAAAAAAAAACTTGTATGTGAATCTTTATGGCAGCATTATTCTTAATAGCCCTGCTCAGGTGACAAAAGGGAAGCTCTCAGGACCTCAGAACCATGTATGGTCTCGGGAGGGGCACTCAGCCTCCTTGTATCTACACCCCAACCAGGGAAATGTGTCCTGAAGGTAACAAATTCCCTTTCTCCTCTGCTGATGAAAAATGGACCCACTCACCAAGCTCAGGCAGGTGAATGAATGTGTACTGATAAATGTAAGACAGACTCCTTGAGAGGGTGGCCAGCAGGGTCATGTACCCCAACAGATCTGGTCTGTGTAGGTCAGTTTTGCATTACAAGTTTTATTTGGTTTGTGGTGATAATGGTGGTAGATTATGGGCCTGCCGATACACTGGCATCTGTCCAATACCCACCCAGCCCTCTGCTTCCACCCACAGTGCACTGTTTCCACAACACTACAGTGGGCAGTACCCTCCTCTGACCCCCAAGCGGACTCACCGGGCTAGCCTCACAAGCCCTGCGGGTGAGGTCATCTAAACTCTGGTTCTGCAGCTTTTCTGTGATGAGAGTGACCATGGTTGAGGCCCTTCCCAGGTCCACATCTATGGGCACTGAAGTTCCAGAACACCGGACATCAGCAGGCCCAAGCCATTGTCAAGTCTGAGCTAAATCTCAGGGTTATAGCTCTGACTTAGAGATGCTGACCCATTTCCATGGACTCTTCAGAGCTGAATGTCTCTGTAAAGAGAAACACCACATGACTGACTGTACACAGAACAGTTCAGTCCACGCTTCTGTTACATGCCGAGTCCTGTGTGCACAGATGTTTCTGACATCTCTCCCTGACAAATACCCTCCCACTTTTAAAACAATCATGCATGTTCCTTCCTCTAGTAACATATCTTCTGGAGGGAGACTAGAGAGTGAGGTGTGCCCTCCAAAGCCTCTCCTAAAGCAGCAAGAAAGGTCATGGCAGGCTCTGCTACAAAAGGACAAGGGCACGGTGGCGCATGCCTTCAGTCCCAGCACTTAGGAGGCAACAACTTTGGAAGCCCAGAAACTGACAGGAAATAGACCTCCAATCAGCAGTGAGAACCCCAACAGCAAGTTACTGGGTCCCACACACCAGGACTGCTCCTGCAGTTGAGTACAACATCCCACTACTCCAGCCCCTGAAGCTGGGGTTCCCTTTACAGAAGACACAGGGTAGAGTGCTGGGGCAAGCACAAAACTCTGCATCAGGTCTAGCCTCAGGCAAGGATAATACAAGCAAGGAGAGGGAGAGCGAGTCTCAGGCTTTGAGTTCTTCACTCCTAGAAGTGAGCAGCTAGGAACATACTGCCCACAGAGAAAGGCACCCAGCAAGGGGCTCTGAGTCCTTGCAGCTGTCACCCCACAGCTCCAATCCTCAGTGTCTCACTATGACTGTGAGCAGCCAAGGACATCTACGAGCTTAGAAAGCAAGAGTGGCTAAATCAGAGAGTGGGAAGACACATGGAGACAGTCAACAGGTAGGGCTGGCAGTAGAGCCCAGTAGGTCAACAGGTAGGGCTGGCAGTAGAGAACAGTAGTGAGAGCTTGCTTACAGTGCACAAGGCCCTGGGTTCCATCACAGCCCTGGATAAAATGAAGGAGGGCAAAGCATGCCAGGTGGTCAGCCCTGTTCTCAGCATGACAAGGCTCTGTGTCATGTAACAAATCAGAACACACTCCTCAAAAGGGGCATGCAGAAAAAAACAGAGCATAGTTCCTGAAAGGTGAGTCACCCAACTGAGCAACTTCAGGGCCTCCACAGTGAGCATCCACAACTAATAAAGCACCCTGGGGCACTGGCCCCTCCACCCACTGAGGCAGTCCAAAGGACAGCAACCCTTGGTGATGTTTGCCCTGAACACAGCAGGAATGAGGCACCTGTTAAAAGTCCAGACAGGGCTCATGACGGGGAAAAGGTGCATCCAATCCTAGGAATATGTCAGCAAAAGAAGTTAACAGATTGAAGAAGAAAAGATGAACATTTCCACAAATGCTGGAAAGATCTCGAACAGGCTCAACACCTAATTTTCATTCTTGAAAATATGTGCACATTGTGTCAACAGAGGCAACAAATGCTTCCTCTCTGACTCAAACACGAGGCACAAACGCCAGCATGTGACTGAACAGGGAAAGGCTGGACATTACAGGCATGGGGAGCAGGGTCACATGCCACCAGCACCACACTGAGCACCCATCGGCTAACATGAAGCCTGGCCTGGAGTTTCCATTAGCAGATATAAGGCACCAGTGGCCCAACCCAGGCAGACCCATGAGCACACTTCAACAAAAGGCGCCATTCATACATGGGGGCTGCTCCAGGCCAGGGGTACACCACACCTCCGAAACACTATTACTCTTTAGCTTATCTAGCCTGAAGTCTCATTCACCATGTCTTTAACATAGCTTGGTGTACTGGGCTCCAGCAGGTCCCACTGTCCTGGAAAGGAGTGACCACCACCTCTAACTCACACCAGAGAGAAGCAGCAGTCTGACGAGTCAATAATTGAGAAATCTGAGAAAAATGAGCCCACAAGAGAAGAAAAAGTTCTTCCTTACAGGACAGAGACAAGTGGCAACAGAAAGGAATAAAGTAAGTTTAAAATATACTAGTTCTGGGCTGGAGAGATGGTTCGGCGGTTAAGAGCACTGGCTGTTCTTGCTGAAGACCTGGGTTCGAATCCCAGCACCCACATGGCAGCTAACAACTGTCCATAAGCCCAGTTCCGGGGGATCTGATGCCCTCTTCCGTCCTCCGTGGGCACTTCATGACATGGGAACACACACATGCAGGCATAACACTCATATGCATAAAATAAAAAAATAAAAATTTAAGGGCTGTAGTGATGGCTCAGCGGTTAAGAACACTGGTTGTTCTTACAGAAGACCGGGGTTCAAATCCCAGCACCCACATGGCAGCTAATAACTATCCGTAACTCCAGTCCCAGAGGATCCAACAGCCTCTTCTGACCTCCGCGGGCATTGCACAACACAGGTGCACTTACGTACATGCAGGGTCTTCTTGCCTCCATGGGGACTGTACACATTGTACACTTACAGACACCCAGACAAAATACTCATACATAAATTAAAAAATTAATTAATTAATTTTTAAAAAGTTGGAAGGCAGATCAAGGCCAGCCTAGTCTACAAAGCAAAGTTCAAGGCCAGCCAGGGCTACTAAAAGAAGATCCTGTCTCCAAAAAACCAAAAACCAAACCAAACAAAAAGCAAACACCACATTACAAACATCCTACATACCAGCCTCAGGGAAAGATCATCTCTGAATGACAACCAAGTACACAGTGAGAGTCGGAACATCTAGTCTCCAAGTATCTTCCCACAAGACACGACTTACAAAGGAAAATGACAGACACTAGACTGAACCACAAAAATAACAGCCAATGGCAGGGCATATGGACACGTCAAGACTCCTAAGGAGACACCAAGAAGGTCACAGCCCACTGTGGGACTCCAGACCGAAATACAGAACCTCAATTTAGTCAGGCAAACCAGAGAGGCAAACTACAAAATAACTGGCCCCTTCAGAAGTGTTGGGTCATGGAAGAACAGTGTAAGACCCCCACCCAGGCCAATAGCACCAACTACAACAATGACCCTCCAAAGGACAACACCCAAAGTTGCTAGATGGAAATCCTGCATCATTTTCCTGATTTCATCAGCACCCTCTAAAAGGTGAGGGGTGGTATCTGGAGGGTCTACATGCTGTTAAATAGGGGAATGGGCAAACTGTGGAACTGTCATCTTCTGTCATAACTACAGATGTTTAAAACTGGAACAGTCTGCTGACAAAGAGCCTGCTGGGTACCATGTTGGGGAAGGAGTCTGCACAGCACAAAGCACAAGGACACGCCATATCAAAGCAGCCTGAAGGACCCAGCAGGCTCAAGTTCCATCCTTAGCACTATAAAACAAAGCAGTTCATCACTTTGGAAAGGACTAGGCAGGTGCTAAGAGCCTTTCCTGAACAGACTCTATCTCCAGATAAGGTCACCTCACAGACCCTGGGGTTAGGGCTTGAATATAGCTTTGGGGGATATGATTCAACTTCACAATGCCAAACATTTCCCTTTACAGGAGACAGAGGCAGGCGGATCTCTGTGAGTTCAAGGCCAGCCTGGTCTACAGAGTGAGTGCCAGACCAGCTGGGGCTACAGGAAGACCCTGTATCAAAAAAGACCAATAATAATAAATAATGATAATGATAATAATAATAATAATAATAATAAAAAGTGCATAGGAGTAAAAGTCAGTTCATGTAATCCATCACACTGACAAGCTAAAGAAGAAAAATTGCATTTTTGGATCAAAAGATGCCAAAAAGCACTTGACAAAATGCAACAACCTATTCATGATTAAAAAAACAAACAAGCCGGGCATGGTAGTGCACACCTTTAGTCCCAGCACTCAGGAGGCAGAGACAGGCTCTGTGAGTTCAAGGCCAGCCTGGTCTACATAGCGAGTTCCAGGACAGCTGGGGCTACAGGGAGACCCTGTCTCAAAGAGACAAAAAACAAAACAAAACAGCAAACAGGACTAGAATAAGACCAACGGCCAGGGTAGCTCACTGATAGAATACCTACCTGCCTAGCGTGTGCAAAAACCCGAGTTCCATCCCACCCCCAGCACTGTAAAAAGAGAGAGAGAGAGAGAGAGGGAGTAGAGGGTTAGAGGGGATACTGTTTGGATGCTCCCCTCCACAGCTTACCACTTAGCTTCTAGCACGTGAGGAAACATCCCCGCCTTTCCACCACAAGAGGACAAGGACTTCCCCTCCCTTCTCTCTATGAGAACAAGGCCTTCCCTCTCCTACCACCTAAGGGTACAGCCTCCATCCATCTCACCATGTAAGAACAAGGCCTTGCCCCTCCCCCTCCTATTCCATGAGGACATGGCTTCCCCTCTCTTGCACCAGAGGATACTGCCTTCCTCCTCCATCACACCAGGCGAGAACATGGGACTTCTCCCTCCTTCCCTCCCACATTAAGAGCAAGGCCTTCTCCCTTCTCTGTCGACTCCCTCTCTAGCACCAGATAAGCACAGCATCTTCTTCCCTCCACCACACCCCTTGAGAACTTGGCCTCACCCTTCCCCCGATATTAAGGACACAGCCTTCCTTCTCCCTGACATCTACCATATGAGGGCACAGCCGCCTTCCTCCTCCGACACAAGAATACGGCCTCCCTCTTTCCTGCCAGGTGAAGACACAAGCCTTCTTCCCTTCCCTTCCCTTCCCTTCCAAAGGATGCAGTTTCAAGGCCACATCTTGGGGACATGGTCTGACCCTGCTGGCTCCTTTATTTTGGACTTCCCAGGCTCCAGAATTAAGAAGACAATTTTTATTCTACAATTACCCAGTCTGATATGATCATAGTTTGGTTTCATTCGTGGCTAATTACCTAAGTGATTACAATAACGCTGGAACAGGTTCAGCCTCAGAAATAGGCCCTAGAAGGCAGTCCTCCTCTGTGACCTACCGTCCTTAACCTGCTGAGTTCTTTTCTTCAGGCAGGGCATAAAAACTCTAATAGTAAACTCCCCTCAGATGATGCCTTGTCTGATCACAGATGACAAGATCTCCCCTTGGGAACACATCTTGCCCCATATGTTCAAGGACAGCATGTTCAAGAATCTGAGCAACTGCCATCAAGACTACATAAGGTCACTGCCTTTATGTCCAAACACAG